TGCCCCAGAGATATCACCCAGTCGGCCCCCATCCTAAAGAGTCACCATCAAGAGAGGGCAGGAGATGAGGGCGGATTGTGCTCCTGCCTCTGTCTCCATTCCCAGGCTAGGAGCTGGGCGTGTCCCAAATGCAGAAGAGGCCGTCTGTCAGGAATAGCTCCAGTGAATGGAGCATCTCCTCCTCCCAACCTGGGAAGGTGGGAGGCCCCCTATGCGACAGGGTCGTGGCCTACAGGGGGTGGGCAGGATAAAGGTTATGAAGGCGGGGATTTGAACAGGGCGTGGCTAGAAAGATTCTGGAGAGGCCAGAAGTGGGCGAGTGGATTGTTTGAGAACGGAGATATATATTACTGCCGGGCTTAAGCCGTGCAAGCGAACTTGGAGGTGCTAGGGACGCGGATGGATAAGGGTCAGGGGCGGAGTCCCAGCCCTGTGGGCGTGGCCTAGTCGAAGCAGGGCCCAGAAGTAGGGGGTTGGGCGCTCGCCGAATGACAGCTAGTGGCGGCGAGTGCCCGGATGTGGGGGCGGGGCCGACCAGAGGGTGTGTGTGTGCGCGACAGGGCCGCTCCCCGCCAGTCCCCGCTGGCTGGCCGCACCCACGCCGTCACGCTCACCATCCTCGGCCTGGCTCAGCCTCTTGTTCCCGCGGCTCGGGCGGCTTTAGCTGAGGCTGCGGCGACTCCCTGGGCAGCTGTGAGCTCGCGCTCACGTCGGCGCCATTTTCCGCCTCCCCACTCTCGCGAGAAGTGGGGCGAGCCCTGCGTACCGCGTTCCGCGAGGGGGCGGGGCCTGAGATCCTCCTGGACAACAGAACAAATCCCGGGGGCGGAGTTGCAGACTCAGGGCAGTCGTAGGGTCGACCTTTAATAGAGTCTGTGCTGAAATCCGGGATTAAAATGTTTCCTGGCCTGTGTTTTCGTCTGCAAAATGGGCATCTTCATCCCCTTCTATCCTGTCACCAGCCCTCGAAAGGCGATAAACAGTGGTTCTACTTTTTGAAGAGGTCATGTGGAGTGGGCAGCCTTTTTAGAAGGAAATTGACAGTAGTCGTCAAAATTTTCAGTGCACTTAGTTCTGAAGTTGGAGTGGGTCCCTTGTGATAGCCAAGGGCGGAAAGCGAGCTAACTGTCCATCTGGAGAGATGTGTTTCCAGGATGGCGGCACTGGGTGTACCAGTGTGGAATGAGTCACCTGTCCAACATATTGTGTGCTAGGTTCTGGGGAACCAGAGATGAACAGTACAAACATCCGTGACCTCAGAGGCTGCTCAAATAATAAAACGGGGAAACACAACAACAAATGTAGAAAAGAGTACGAGGTTATAGTAAATGCTACAAATTAAAAATAAATAAATAAATAAAACAGAAGGACATGATACTGCTGGGTCAGGGAAGCCTCTCTGTGAGGTGACTTCTGAGCTATCGCTTGACAGGAAAAGAGTGAGCCAATGGAAGGTCACGAGGCTAGAGCATTCTGGAAAGGGTGGATAACTAATGCAATTGTTCTGAGGTTGAGAGGAACGTGTCTTTTTCAAGGTCGGTCATGCAGGGCCTTGTGAACCGTGGAGAGAGGAGTGTCATTCTAGACATTAATGAATTTTAAGCAGGAGGAGGTACACCATCTGATCCCTGGCTTTCATTTGGGAGATGGGCTATTGGGGGACGAAGTGAACATTTGATCTCAGATCTCCATAATACATTATTTAACCATTCAAGAGGTATTCATTGAGTTCTAGGCAAGTGTAGACTTTATGTGTAATGTATTTCCATCTGTGCACATAAGGTGCACCTTATGTGGTTTTTTTTGTACCTATGTGCTTTTACATGCAGAGAATACCATTAAGAGACATTAAAAATTGGGGAGACAGATTTTTGAGTGAAGAAGAGACAGATTTCACACTTCTGTGCAGTTTTAATTTAAAAACCTTTGGTTATCTTTAATACAGTTAAAAAGTCGTAAAAACAGATCATTTTGATGGAGGGTAGAGAGGTGTGTGTGTGTGCAGGAGAGGTTGGTGCAATATAGGGAAGGATGGGGTGAGGCCTCAGAAAGGATAGGGACCCAAAGAACGGAGAGGAGGGGGCAGACTTGAGACATTTTGTAAGAGTCAACAGGATGTGGGGCTGAGTGGGTGGGGCAAAAGTGACTGAGGTTTGCAGATGCTGTAACCTAAATGTGAGAAGTTATTCGAATATGTCAAACCCACTCCCTTCTTCATACTGAGTAACCCGCCCAAACCTCATCTATCCATCCTATCCAGAAGGCCCTACTTCCTGCATGTGTGATGCTCGCCACGGTAGCTTTATCCCCAAGTGCCAGGAGCTAGGGTGGGGGTAGCCTGCAGGGTGAGTTTGAGGGCTGAGGAGATGGAAGCCCTGATTTCCTCTTCAGCACGAGGAAATGCCCAGCTGATGAGGTCAGTGATTCATGTCGGTCGTCCTCCCCGCCCTCTCCCATCCTTATATCTAAGTCTTACAGCGAGTGATGCACACAATGATGGTTGGGCAGCAGAGTGAGAAAATCAGAGATGGGAACCGGGGACTTTCAAGGGACTGGGTAGATGCTTTTGTATGACAACTAACAAAAAGGTTGCTGAGATTTGTTTGTTTGTTTTGCCAGCTACTCTCAGCTTCCCCAGGTAGGTGCAGAAGAGAGAGGGTGCGGATCCTGCAGAAAGCTCTGCTGGACAGTCAGCCCCTGTCCCTTCTCTGGTTCAGTTTGACCCCTCTAGTCTCTCAGACTGGCTTACTCTTTGAGGGGCTGAGCACAGAGGGGGTATCCATCTGGAAAGCTAGAATCCTTAGGCTCTGACCATAGTAGGACTCCCAGACAGTTTCTGCAGCACCTGCATGGAATTCTCAAAGGCTCAGACTCCAGCATGGGTTTGGAGACAATTTGGGAAACCACTAGCCAGGCTGACCCCTTGACCTGTGACCATAAGTGCAGAAAGCCAGGGCCCTCAAATGTCAGAACCAGTCCTGACCCCAGGTGAGTGAGGGCTAAGAATGCACAGACATGAGGTGGGGGACAGGGGCCAGAGGTGTCTCAGGATGGATTGTGGGGGGCCATGCAGGACCTGCCTCCTTCCTCAGGGTCCAGTTGGGTCCCAGATGGGTTTGGGGGCTGCAGCTTCAGATCTGATAGGACCCACCAGACCATTTTCTATAGGAAAGCTGGCATGCAGCTTCTGGAAGTTGGCAAGTGAGACAAACTCAAGCTTTTCAAGGCTCGGCTCTGTGGAATCTTGGGTAAGTGACTCAAACTCTGACTCTTTATTTTTCCACCTGTAAAATGGGGCATTTGCTACTCCTACATCACAAGGTTCTGAGAAGGTTGATACTTCGACCCAGCAAACATTTATTGCTTCAGTAAAGAGAGAAGGAGGGAGGTCATGCTTGTCAAGGCCCCCCAACTATGCCCCACCCTTTGCTGACAGGACATGCCTCATTTTGTACTCGTAAGGCAGCTGGGAGGTAGGCTCTGCTGTTAGCCCTGTGTAAAACAAAAGGAAGGTGGTGTGACATGGGACAGTCCAGGGCTCAGGGGTGGCTGCAGGTGACTCCCAGACCCACCCAGGGCCTGGGCTGGGCTAGGCTGGAGGCCACCAGACTACACCTTCTGGCCAATGCAGCCAAGGGAAACGAGAGCCCTGCTGGCCGGGCCTGGCTCCCTAGCAGGTAGGAGGATAGAATTCTGGGCCCCCCCACTCAGATCTTCTCCACGTAGTTTCCTGGGAAGAGGCCCTCCTGGCCGTGCAGCCGGCCTTTCCACCAGCCCGAGGAATCTATGGGAGAGAAGAGAGTGTGAGGTGGCACCCAGGCCACCCCGGAGAAAACCTTCAAGCTGGCTCAGTGTCTGTTTTATGCATTTCCACTGGTCTGGCATAAGGCAGAGGCTTAAAAGAGAGTGATGGAAGGAAGGGAGGGAGGGAGGGACACACACATGGTTTTTCCTTGTCACTGGCTCACTGTTATTTTCTAGACTACTCTCTTGCATTCTTCCTTCATCCATGATCTGCTTCAGGCCCCTCCCTGCAATACCCATAGTGGTCCCAGGGAGGACTTCAATGGGGCTCCCCTACTCACCTGCAGAGGGTGCTGTTGAGTCCAAGGCCCCTCTGGGACAGCCCCAGGGAATAAGGTAAAGAAGGTGGCTTCCGCCATCCAGATATGGCCCATATCCTACTCACTAGAGGTCTCTAAGATTCTGCTATTAGCACTATGTTTGACAGGTGACAGAAATGAGGCCGGGCTACTAGATGTGATTCAGTGAGGCCAGGCTCCTAGGTGGCTTAGGAGGCAACTCCAGACCCAAGCCCTCTAGCCTTTGCAGCCACTGGCTCAGAAGAGGCTACTTCTATTGGAGCCTGAAAACTAGCTGGCTACTTCTGTCATCCCATGGGAAGATATGCGGTAATGGGGGGCTGCCTGGTATCAGGGTTCTGACTTCTCCCACTTCTGTCCCAGCACACGCACCTTCCATGAGGATCTCTATGACCTCATTCACGTTGAAGCTCAGCTCATCCACATCTTGTCCCACATACTGGTACAGTGCCCGGCACCGTGGGCCATGTGTCCGTGGCTGGGGCTTGGGTCGGCCCACACCAGGCACTGGCCGCTGCCCAATGCTGCGCTTCCTCTGCATCCTGTGGGCACAGGGAGGGGGGCGCTCATCACAGCCCTAGATACTTCCTCACAGCTCCCCATCTCCTAGGGCTGCCCTCCCACCCCACCTACCCAGCCACTCCTTGATCTGGCACATTGAGGAATTCTGTGTTATGCTCCGAGGGGGGCCGTGCCCGAGGGCGTCTGCTGGCCCTCAGGGCTGAGGATGGAGGGCCTCGGGGAGGCCGCTGGGAGCCCCCTCCAGATGTGATCTCCAGGGGCAGAAGGCCCCCTCTAGCAGAGGGGGGCACCCCGTTGCGGTCCAGACCTGTGGTTGGAGCAAGGATGGAGGCATTTATCATGGTGATGCTAGGAGTATTTGGGGAGGACTCAACTAAAAGTTCCCAGTCTGAGGGAGGAGGCAGCCACACTCTCAATCCAGTATGGTGACTAGACCAGAAGGAGGGACCCAGGGGCCAGGAGGGATCAGAGAGAGGTTCTGCAGGAGCAGTCTTTCCCTCAACCCCATTCTGTAGGAACGCTTTCGTGGATGGGTCTTGGAGGAAGAATAGGAGCTCAAGTGGAGTGGGAATTTTGGAGACAGGCAGAGCAAACAGCCCCAGCAAAGGCCTGGAGGTTTTGACAAATTTGGCAAGTTGGGAAAATGTGATGTAGCTTGCCTGACAGGAGTGTAAGATGGGAGAGAAGAGGTCAGTGGTTAGCTGGGGTCGGATTCTGAAGGGCTTTGAATACCAAACTAAGTTTAGCTGTTACTCTGTGGGAGATCGGGAGTTACGGAGAGTTCTGGTCAACTCTGCTTATTAGACTGTTTGATAGGTGGACTGGCTTAGGTCATGGAGCCCACAAGAGGCAAGAGAAGACACTTAGTGGGGGTCATCTCCTCACCTCTGGGGGGCGCAGGGGCTGCCCGGGAAGGTGCCTGGGCCGACCTTCGAGGTTTACCGTGGGCCATTCCTTTCCGTGTAGGCTCTGTAAAGGAAAATGGAAAGGATACAGGATTTGAGTGGTGGTCAGACCAGACCAGGCTCTTGGCCCTGCCCACGTCCAGTCCACTCCTCCCCAGGCCCCGCCCCCTCAGCCTCACTGGCTCAGTCCTGATTGGTCCCGCCCCTCTGGGACCCGCCCCTCATTTCCTGGGCTCGTCCACTCCATGACTTGCGTCCTCACCCCCCACCCCGGCCCCCTTATTTATCGGCTAGCTCTCGGGCTTCTTCTCTGGCCACGCCCCTCCACGTTGCTCGCCCAGTCACTGGTCACTTCGCTGGCCCTACCCTCTCCATGGCTACCTCTTTTGTCTCTCCCTAGACACGCCCCTTCACAGCCGTCACCCACTTTCGGCCAGCATCACTGGCTCCGCCCCTTCAACATTGATTGGTCCCCTCGCTGGCCCGCCTCTTTGGCACCACCCCCTGGTTCTGCGCGGACTCACTGGAACTTTTGGGCAGCCCATCACCCACGCTGACCGTGAGGGCCCGGCTGCTAGCCTTAAGTAGCGCCACGTCGCCGGAGCCCCGGGAGAAAGTGACGCTGCGGGTGCCACCTCCGCCCCAGCCCTCCTTCTTCACCCGGAACTGTAGTCTGTGGAGAGAAGAGAAAGCTTTTGGGGCGCTCGCCTCCCAAGCGGAGATGTGTGTTACCTCCCCATCCTATCCTTGCCAGGCCGGGCACTGGTGGATGGCAGGGCAGAGGGGAATTTCGGCGGGATCGTGGGGTGGGGAGAGGGTGCTATGCCTAGACCAATTCGAGGATGGTGGTGGTGAGGGGAGGCGTACGTGTCGCTGAAGGTGAGGGGCAAGGGCCTCCGTGCTGCCTCCTCAAAGCGCTTGCACAGGAGGCTGACAAACTCAGTCTTAAAGATGCTCTCCAGAAAGCTGTCCGTTGTGTCTTCTTGGAGGATGAAGAAGTCGTCCTGCCGCGTACTGGGGGCGGGAGGAAAGGCAGTTGAGAGTGGCAAGACTGACACGTGAGATGCAACAAGGGAAGGTCAGGTAAGGGGCAAGCGGAGAGTTACACGGGACGGGGGAACCGGGAAAAGTGGAGCTGGGGAAGATGGTAATACAGAAGGGCCAGGTGAAGAGTCGGATGAGGGGACAAGCGCTGTTGGCAAATAAGGATCATGAGTGTGAGGGCAGGTGAAGGTGACAGGTAGGGCCAAGAGAGGGTTACAGATATAGCGGCAAGTAAGAATGTCAGAGTTACAGATGGGGTAACAGTATGACGAGAACTGAGGTTGACAAGGGGGAAGGCAAGGGTGACTGTGGGGCAGGTGAGTGCCTGGACTCACCTGAGGGAGACTCCTCTCAGGGCCTGGAGCTCCACCTTCTTCTTGAGGACCTCACGCACTTGGCCCTTCTCGGATCCCTTCTTCACCTTTTCTCGCCCAATCACATACACACACTTGGGCGTCAGGATCAAGTCCCTCTTGATGGGCTATGAGGATGCAGTACCAGAGAGGCTGATGGCAGGAGCCCTGGGCATGGGCAGCCTGGTCCTAGGGGATCAACCCCAGGCAGAGGGGTGGTGCTGGCAGGTCAGGTGAAGGACAGGTGAGGGTATCCCTCCACGCAAAGGTATATGAGTAGTTACATTATATAATAGGTTAAAGAAGAGTCTATTGGCTAGAAGGGTGTCTGGGGCAGGGAACAGGTACAGGATAGATGAAGGTAGACCTGCTGGACATGGGTGCCCAGGCCAGATGAGCACAGGTGTATCTAGGCCAGGTGAAGGTGTGTCTAACTGACAGGTCTATCTAGACTTGGTGAGGGTATACCTACCTAATGGATAGGTGTGTGCAGGATAAATGAGGGTGGCCCTGTGGTCAATGCTTCTGGGTGAGGTGAATGTGTAATTGTGGACAGATGTGTCTGGCCAGGTGAAGATGCATCTGATAGACAAGTATGCCTGGGCTACATAAGGTCATATTTGATGGACAGATATATCTATGTTAGTGGAGCGTATACCTGTGGGCAGGTGTGCCCCAGCCAGGCGAGTGTGTACCTGTGATGAGACAGGTGTATCTAGGATAGGTGAATATATACCTGTGGACAGATGTATCTGGGCCAGGTGAGGGTGTACCTCTGGGTGGGGTGCCAGGCTGAGGCCAGGGTCCTAGACGTACCCACTTGCTAGTGCCTACCTTGAAGCGGCGGTCGTACTTGGTGACTGAGTCGGCAAAGTCCACGCGTTCCCTCTTGCCCAGGAACTGACGCAGCTCTGGCCGCTCCTCCAGCCCCAGGTAGTCCCCGACAAAGTTCCGATTGATGC